GGGGCGTATGTGAGGGGCACAGGGGGGACCAACGGTTTATAAAAGGACAAAAGCCCCTTCTGGGCTGGCCACACACAAGGCCACAGGCAGCGGCCCTGGTAGCGATCCCTGCGGGTTCCAGGGAGCCCAGGTCAGGCTAAGCGCTGCCTCCTGACTGCACCAAACAGCATGGTGCTTCCCAGCTGGACCTGCAGTTCTCAGATGAAGAAATCAAAGCTTTCTACAGTCATATGAAGAAATGCTCTAAGTCACTGCCGATGAGAGAACGCACATTAGAACAACTCTGAGCTACCACCTGACTGACACCTGTCAGACCTGCCAACGTGCCAGAAGAGGAGACTGCTGGACGTCGAAGGGGATGGGGAAAAGCAGGGACACTAACACATCGTTGGTGCAGTTGTGAGCTGATCCAACCATTGTGGAGAACAATCTGGCCTCGGATCCAGCAACAGCACTACTGGGTCTGTATCCCGACGAGATCAAAGCACGGGGAAAAGGACCTGTCTGCACACGAACATTTACAGCAGCTCTTTCTGGAGCAGCTGAGAATGGGGGCAGTGGACACGCAGTGCCTAGTGCCGGCAGCCCCGGGCCACTTCACACGGCCTCGCTCTTCTCGGCACTGCCGGGATCCCAGACACTGGGGAAGGAGCCAGGGTGAAGGCGGCAATCTACCCCACGGAGGGGATGGATTCCGGGTGCACACTGATGCACGCCTTCTCACTTTGGGTTTCTTGCCCTTTTTTTGTTTTTTTGCAACATGGCTCATGTGGAAATGTTTTGTATGACTCCACGTGTACAATGGTTACCATACTGCTTGCCTCCTCGAGGGGTGGGGGAGGGGCTGGAAGTTAAGAATGAGTATTAAAAAGAGAACATATATTAAAAAGTTTTAGTCAGGTACTTAGATGCAGAGGAAATTTCACAAGGGATGGATAAATGCGGAATCGTGTTTGCGTTCAAGAAACCCACTTTGCCAGGCCAGGATGTGGAAAGAAGAGCCCGACGGCCCTCGGTCTGGGAGCATCAACAGACCACGAGGTCGGGGTGCGAACCCAGGGTCATAAGGCACCAGGGAAAGTGAGGCTGTGGGTGCGGCTGGTACAGAAATCTGTCCTGCCCTACAGGAAAAGTGAAGGGGGAGGGGATGAGAGAAGGGGCAGAGACAGAAGGGAGGGCAGACTGGGGGAAAGCATGCCGACTTAGGGTGGGGAAGGGGATGAGAGGGGAGAAACTTTCGAACGAAATCTTGTGGACGTGAATGTTGAAAACTACAAGTATGCTGATACGCTGAGTTCGGGAAGCAGGTTTATAACTCATCAATCAGCCAGGACGCTCAGGGCCTACTGGTTAAGCAAGCTGCTCACGAAGACACGTGAAGCATCCCACCCAGGAGAAAGGCTGTCCAAAGACGTGCGGTCTTGACCCACAGCCCTCCTCCCCCCCAGGAAGCTCCGCCACATTCCCTGACCATGGATCTGCAACCGAGACTGGCCTAACGGGAATAAAAGCGAGGCTTAAAAGAGAGAGAAGCGCAGCTGGAGGGCGCTGTCCTCGGCCGCCAGGCTCTCCCTGGAGATCAGGGCAATGCGTTGGGGTCCGGACACTACAGAACATGGGGACGAGGAGGGTCCCCAAGGCCACGCCAAAGGCCCTGGACTGTGAAGAACAGAGCACGAAGGGCTGAGGCCCAGGCTCCATCCCCTCATCCCCGGGGAGCTGACTCGCTCAGCAGCTTGAATGAAACGGTCTCAGAGGGCCCTTCCCACCAGGAGCGCTGTCACCGTGGACAGGACCGTGGAGGCAAGTGTTACCAAGGGAGACTGGCAAGAGATGCCAGGCAGAGGGGGGCAATGGGGAGTTAGTGAAGAGTTGTGAGCAGAGGAGAGACATGGAGAGGTCCATACGTGGAGGAAGGGGGTGAAATCACCACCGGCGTTTCTTCGATGAAAATCTAACCTCACTGCCTCTGGGGCCCAGAGAGACCAAGGGCCCTGCCCGGGTCACAGAGCAGACCAGAGACGCAGCCTTCGGTTCCTCCCCCTGAAGGGGGGGAGGGCTCTAGGGAATGAGGACGGCCGGTGCCAGGAGAAGGGGGACGGATGCCAGGCAGAGCTCCAGTGAGCAGACTGCCTCAGTGGTACAGGACATTCCTTACTTACAGATGGAGTGGGGGCCAAGGCAATCGGTGGCTGTCTGGAAAACGGAACACACGGCCCCTCTGAACTCACGCACAGGGTACAGCTTTCCTAGCCCGGGGGAGTGCCCACCTTTGGTCTTTGGGCAAAGCCAGGGGGGCAGAGCCCAGGAGGGAGCGGAGCCATGGGCTGTGGAGGCAGGAGGACCAGCCGCGGCTGGCGGAGAGCCGGAGGAAGCACGAGCGTCCCCTCCCTAAGGAGTCGAGTGGGGAGCAGACAGCACGGAGGGTGCTACCACCTCGGTGACCCTAAATCTCAGCAGACAGGAGCAGTCCACACCTCGAGCCCTTCAGACGACCCGCTCCAGTCTCAGAACTCCCCCTGGGGTCTCATAAAACTGGGCGTCTCTGTCCAGCTCCTCCCCTCCCCCACTGGCCAGAAAGGCACCGCCGGCTGGATCGGGAGGCTGCCCACTTGGTGACCACAGCAACCCAGCACAGGAGGCCCAGATGGGCTGAAGGCCTGGGTCCTCACAGCTGCCATCTGGATTAATCTTGAGTCTCAGGACTTTCTCCCCTTTGCCCCCACACACAGCCTCACCCCTTCCCTCACCTAAAAAGCCCAGGCCCGCAGTGGATAGAGCACCAGCCCTGGAGGCTGGAGGATCTGAATTCAAATCTGGCCTCAGACACTTGACACTTATTACCTATGTGACCCTGGGCAAGTCACTTAACCCCAACTGCCTAAAGCCCAGGCCTTCACTCAGGCTTTGCTCTTCTCCCCTCCCCCCCAGGCGTCTCTCCTCAGCCTCCTCCTCGGCCTGTCACTTCTACCTCTATTCCCGCCCCTTTCCTGGAGCATGGCCCTTCCCTTCCCTTCCCCCTGACTATCCCTAACGCTACCTGCTGATCTCTTCCCTCACACACGGCCCAACCACGCGCTCGGCTCTCCCGCAGGCTCACAGACTCTCCATGCCCAGCCATGGCCACCTGGGGAGGCGACATGGTCCTATGGGTACCTGAGCGAGGCTCGCGGCCCTGCCTCGGCCCGTCTCCCCCGTGTACCATGCACACAACCACACGTGCACGCTCACGCTGACACACATGCTACCACACACAGACATGCGCGCACACACACTTTACCACACACCCTACTACACATGTGCACACACTCACATTGACACATCCTAACACACACATACCCTACTACACACACGCACACAAACACACGTGCACACTCACACCCTACCACACACACACAACAGCCTACCACACACAAGCACACATGTGTGCACACTCACACGGACACACATCCTATCACACGGACACACATCCTAACACACACACACACACACACCCTCCCCTCCAGAAGCAGCCCACTCCAATGCAAACAGCTCATCATTAGGGAGGTTTCTCCTTACCCAGCCCAGTGACCTTGGGCCCACTCCCCCCCACCCCAGGCCCGTGCCCACCCTCGCTGCCTCCTCTGGACACGAGAGCCCACTGGGGGCCGACTGAGGACGGAAGGCCAAAGGGACTCTCATCCCGCTAGTCCTGGGTGCTCACGGCCACCCGGACGCAGAGCGTGGGGCCAGTAACGCTTCCTGCTCTTCTTTCCAAACAACTCCTGCCTAGCCACCCTCATGCCGTCATGACTCGTGTGGCTGGATGACCATGCCCTCCGTGCCTTTAGCCAACTCACTGGGCCCTACGGAGCCCGCAGACCAGCACTGGCCATACAGCCTATGTGGGGATCCAGGAGAGGTGTGTGCCCTGACCGCCCAGGAAGTGAGGCTGGAAAGCCACGGGACACAACGGTCCTCCCGCCTATCTTTAAGCAGTCCCCTCAATGTCCAAGGCTCCGTGTGGAGCCCGCATCCAGCAGCCAGGCCCCGAGCTCCAGACACCCCCTTCTCCAGCACTAGCAGTGTGCTCTCCAGACCCCAGGGATTATGGGATGAGGCGAGAAGTCACCAAGATCTGGGTCTAATCCTGACTCGGGCACTCATTGAAACTCTCTGAGCCTCAGTTTCCTCATCTGTAAAATGAGGAGGATAATGGCAGCCCCTCCACTCCACAGGGTTGTTGTGAGGACCAGGAGAGCTAAGCTATGGAAATCCCTCAGCCTTCGCTCTATCCACGTTGTTGGGTGCCGGGTGCGGTTGCTGCCATCATCAGTTACGGCTATTACGGCTCATCCGGACTGGGGGCTCGACTGCACGTGGGCAGCATCGGGGGCTCTCTCGCCTGCCCCCGGCAAACCCTCCCCTCTGCCCCATGATGGCACACAAACTCACCCAGCCGGGCTGCCGCGGGCCAGGCTGCTGTGGGCCGGGCCGCCGCCCTCAGCCCCCATCTTCTGTACCCACCCTTTAAGCTCGAGCTGGTCCGTGAGCCCCGGGCAGCCTCAGCACTCTTTAGGAGAATTTCATTCTCGACAGTCCCACCCTCTGGGGCTCACCCTGGCAGAGGGGGATCTTAGCGAGCCCTTCTCTGACCCCCCAAATAAAAGGGACACGCCCGTCTACCCTCCTCAGGCCCGGATGCCCGGGCTGCTGACCCTCCTCTCCGACCGAAGCTTCCCCTTTGACGGCCTCAGTGAGGCCTGCCGTCCCGAACACGGCGCCCCTTCTCCCAGCCTCCTCATTCCCCGTCCTTGGCTCCTGGACGTGGCTCTCTCTGGGCTCCCCCACTGGCCCCCCCAAGTTCCTCAGGGCCCTGCCGTGGGCCAGCATCCAGCTCACCCCCGCGGCCTCCGCCTGGGGCCTCATCTGTCCCCACACTTCTCCCAGATGCCTTGGGGCCGACAGCTCCCGACCGCGTGGACTTCCCTGGACCCCATCAGCCACCAAGGCCCGCCCCCCCCTTCCCCGTCCTCACTCGCGGCCCCTTTCTCTTCCTACAGCAGCCAGCACTGAGGCTCAGGACACGGCCATTGCTCTGCTGGGACCACAATGGATCCTTCGCGGGGTTCCTCTCCTCCCCTCTCTCCTTTCCACACCCACCAACTCCATCCTTCACTCCCTTCACCCGTGGATTCATGATCCTAATGGCTAAGTCCTTTCTCCTGGACCCCACGCTCCTCTACGATGGGGCGCCATCCCTCCTCTTCCAGCACCCCCGGCCCCCCAGTCTCCCCTTCACCGGCGGTCCCTGCAGGATCCCCACCCACCCGTTAGAGCACAGGCCCAGGGCACACCCCTGACCACTGGCTGCCCACAGGCAGTCTGAGCGGCACGGACAGGAGGGCTGTGGGGAGGGGTGTGGGGGCCGCTGCCCAGCGCCCAGCGCTCACCTCTAGCAGGCGTGAGATGGCGTCAGGCTGGGCCCGCAGGCGGCTGTCGTAGCACGGCCAGATGACCCGCCGCCGACTCTGGGGGGCACCGCCATCAGGCCGCTCCTCCTCCAGGGCCTCGGGGGGCCCCTGGGCCAGCTCCCAGTCATACGGGGGGCCCTCAGCCAGCGTCTCCCGCGTATAGAAATCCCACACCTTCAGGTTGGACACGTTGCTGTAGGGACGCAGCACCTGAGGAGGAGGGGCGGGGGAGGAGGGAGGCTGTCGTCCCAGTCTGTGGGTCCCTGGCCTCCCCAACTCCTCACGCCCTCGAGCCCTCACCTCCGTGTCTTCAGGGGCATACATGTAGTTATAGAACACGGGCGTCTTCTTGCTCAGCCTCTCTACATACTCCCACACGGATTTGCACGCCTGGCTCTTCCGCTCACCCTTCTCCTCATACAGCAGGCCTAGAGAAAGTGGGGGGGGGCCCCGCCCCCCCCCCCCCTGGCCCCCCCCCGGCTCTGCCCCCCCCGCAGCTCCCCCCCGGCCCTGCCCCCCCCACAGTTCCCCCCTACCCCGGCCCTGCCCCCCCTCCCCCACGCAGCCCCCGCACCCAGCTCGATGCGCTCATAGTCTGAGTCCAAGAGGAAGGTGCGGAAGCGGTGGGACACGTGGTGATAGCTGAGGAACTTGAGGTAGTACTGGCTGAACTCAAACTCCATGGGGAACTGTGAGTGCACCTGAGGAGCGGGGCAGAGGCGAGGTCACAGGCGGGGTCGCCCCCCCATGCCCCCCGCCCCCACGGCGCGCTGGGTGGGCGCGGGCCCCCTACCTGGTGCACGCAGTCCAAGAACTGCAGGAAGATGGGGGCGAAGCCGCTGCTCTGCGCCGCCAGCGTGTGGGCCCCCCGGTGTGTGAAGCGATGGCCAAAGGAGAGCCACTCCTTCTCCACCAGCAGCCGGAAGCCCTCCAGGGTGCGGTAGTAGGGGTCTGAGAGCAGCTGCACTAAGGACACCACCTCCCCCCACCCCACGGCGGCAGGTCAGGGCTCACACCGGGGTGCGCTCGCACTGCCCCAGGGGCCCCTTGCGGACTCCCGCCCCTCAGGCTGCTTTCCTTTGGCAGGGGCTAGGTGCGGGGCCTCTCCCAGCCCGCGGCTCCCTGCCTCCCGGGGCCCGGCTGCCCCTGCACTGGTGCCTCTCCACTGGGCCTGGTGGAGGTGTTGCCCTATTTTCCCAAGTCTTTGCAGGGCCCGCCCCGGACACAGCCCCCCTCCCCTAGGAAGCTCCCCTGCCCCTTTCCTGGGCACACATCATTTCTGCCTCAGTTTACCAGGGCCTCAGCCCAGGGCAGGCGCCGGCTCGGTCCAAGCTTGTTGCACTTAATCATTTCTTTGCACCAGCCACGTGGTGCGTTCCCCCAAGCCCCCAGAAAAAGCACACGTGCACACGCGTGCACACACACATACACCCCCTTTACCTGTGTGGTAATGTCCCACCCATCTTCCAGGCTCACAAGGACAGAGGACCCCGAGTCCAGCAGCTCGACCACCAGCACGGACACCTGCAGCAGCTTGTGAATCTGGGGAAGGCAGGCAGAGACGCGGCCTGACGGCGCTGCCCCAGGCAGCCGTCCCAGCACGCGCAGGGTGGCACGGGGCTCCCAGACTCTGCTCCAGCCCCCGGCCAGCGCCAGGCGTGAGCCTCGGCCACCCCCTCAAGGTGAAGCGCGGACGCCGGCCGTGGCTCTCAGGGGAGCGGTCTCCTCACAATCACCGCTGTCCTCGGGTGGCATGGCGGGCATGGGCAGGGTAGGAGTGCACCAGACTCGATGCCCCTGTGCCCTCCCACTCCAAGATGCCGGGCTTCCCGCCTTTCTGTCTCCCCCTTGGAAAGCTGATCTAATCTGCGTCCCCTTCAGCTAGAACCCGCTCCCCGGAGAGACAGCCCTGGGTTCCCCACGACTTCCTGGACGGGCCCATTTCACTCGTGGGGATGGCCCCGACAGGAGCTCCGGGGACTACCCCTATGCCCACCCCCGGCCACCCCAGAATCACAGGGTGCCAGAGCTGATTCAGCCACGGGGGGAGGGGGGGCAGCTTATCCCAGCTCCTTCATTTCACATGTGGGGGTGAGAGGAAGCATTTCAGGCCCCTCTGAGGCCTCTGAGCCCAAGCCCAGCATTCAGGGAACCCTCCACGACCAATGTCTCCTGCCCGAACCCTGGCCCTCCCCACCTATCCAGAATGCCCCTGTCCTTCAAGGCTCAGGGGTTCTCCTTGGGCGGCCCCCCAGGGCTCCCCTCCCTTCCTTCCCCCCACAGCACAACGTCCAAGCCAGAAGCTCACTTCAGGTGCAAGTTAGCATGTCAACAGTGTGGGAGAGATGGGGCGGGGGTGGGCAAAGAGGCCCCTCCCGCAGGGCAGACCTGGCTCAGCCACTCGGACTCCTCCAGTGAACGCAGGTAGGTCGGGCTCTGCTCCCCTGCGGGGCAGCCGGGGACACATGCCTTCAGAAGCTTCTTGAAGCTCGCTTTGACCTGCCTCACTTCAAACACCTCGATGGGCACCAGTTCCCACTGTTGGAGGGGGTCTGGCCTCACGCCCTGTGATGGGCAAAAGGGGACGTGAAGGGACGACCGGGTGATGGGGGAGGGCCGGGCACTGTGGCCTCCGTCAGCCCCACCCGCCCTGACCCCCGGATCACCTTGAGCTGGGCCTTGTCACCAATGATGTAGAGGGCCGCACGCTGGGGACGCAGGAAGCCTGGTTCTGAGGGTGCCCCGTTGGGTTGGGGGGGTCCCAGCAGGTCCTTGCCCGCTAACCTGGAGCCCACATCCACACCCAGGCTGGATCCGCTGCTGCGGCCGCCGGCCCGAATGCTGCCCCACTTTCCTGTGGGGAGAGAGCTGGGGGTGAGTGGGCCGAGGGGCTGGGGGGGGTCTGCTACTTACCTTCGAAACGGGGACAACCAAGAGCAGAGCCTGGAGAAGGGCCATTCCAACTAAAGCTACGTGGTGAGTGCTCGGGTGGGGACCCACAAGGCTCAGTTAGTGCCAGGGCTGGAAGGGCGGAAGGCACCTCCAAATCAGTGCCCAGGGTGTCGAGAGTGTGCCGAGGGCAGAGCGGCAAGCGTCCGCTGGCTGGCGCGTGTGAGAGAGCGCGGGCCGGGCCGGAGAAAGGGAGCGAGTTAATGGCCTGGGGCAGTGAGGGGGACACAGGCGGAGTTAGTGCCCAGGGCTTACGGTACCTCGGGGAGCGGTCCGTCTGGTGACTGATGCTGTCGTGGGATTGGACAGAGTGGTGACCCTGGCTCTGGGACTGGGTGCTGGGGGGGGGGTACAGCACAAAGAGAAGCCTCAGGCCCCAGCCCCGGGACAAAGCCCTGGGCGGCCCTGCTCTCCTCCCCAGACCACACAGCGCGTCCGGGGGCCCCCTCTCACTTCTGGGCCAAACCCCGAGGAGCCCCACACTCTGCTGAGCACCTCCGCAAGGCCACGCTCCTCCCAGACACTACGAGGGCAGGGCGTGCTCCCCCCTGAGCTCTCTCAGACTAAAGCTCAAACTCTGTTGAATTCAGGTCAGGTCTGACAGGCAGCAGGTGGGGGCTGGGGGACCGGACAAGGGTTCTGAGGCCCCTGGGGGTGGTGGGGCTGGGAAGGAGGGCTGTCTCCACTCCAAACTCAACCGGCCATACAAAGGAGGACCCCGGGAGAGACTTAGCTGAGGAGGACTCAGAAGGGGAAGGGGGAGAAGCAGCCGGATGGCCTGGCCCCCGAACAAGCGTCCCCCGGATCCTCCCGCCACCCCTGCCCATCGTGGCCTGGTGCGGCTGCGCCCACAACGCCTCGCTGCCTGCCCGCCCCCACGCTTCGGCTCCAAAGCCTCCCACGGAGTCCCTCAGCCCCACTCCAGGGCCTCCACAGCCCAGAACCACTGCTGACATCATCCCCTGCCATGTGGTCTGACAACCTGCGGTCACTCGCGGGCCCAAGGCCCTCTGACCTTGATGCCTCCGTGGCCAGTCCTGGCTGACGACCTCGAATGGCCCCTTCTCCAGGAGGCCTCCTGTGCCCCCCCCCCCCCAGCTCCCTCCTCTCCTCTCAGGGACAGGGCCACTTCTGTTCTAACACATCCCCCACCCCAGGGGTCACACCAAACAAAACATGACCTAGCCCCAGGGGAGCTAACCACTGGGCTAAGAAAAAACCAAACCCAGATATTGTCACAAACACTTATTAGCACCGTGCTGGGGACGCAAGACAAGGGAAACAGTCACTGCCCTCAGCGATCGTGCCCCTAAGCACTCCAGTCTCAGTCGTGGCTGGTTTGGGGGAGCCGAGCAGCATGCCAGACGGTCAGCCTGAGTGCCCGCGGCGGGCACTGGGTCCTCCCCGACCTGTGCCTGGCACCCGTCCCAGTCCACCTGGGACCAAGCGCCCACTGTGTGCCTGGTGCTGGGGGTGGCAGCGGGGACGGCCCGAGGCTCCCTGGGCACTCACCGTGACTCGCCATGTGCATAGACGAGAAGCCGCTGAGGGTGTTGCGCCCGGAAGCAGCGTCAGCATGGCGGGGCATGGAGCTCACCACTGCCTGGAGGTACTTCTCCTGTTCCAGGCTGCTGGAGTCAGCCTGGGACTGACCTGGGAGGAGAGGAGCAGGCAAGCAGGCAGGTGAGGCTGGGGAATGGACGCACACACACACGCATGTGCAGACAGGCCCAGCCCTGAGGTCCCCGCCATGGGGAACACTCTCAGACATCGCCTCCCTTGGCAGGCGGGACCCCTGAGTCCCAGAGCCGTCCCTTGGCATGGGGTCTGCTCAGGCTCCCCCTTCTGATGCAGGACGGGGGGCTGGTTAGCTCCTGTCCCCAGAAAGGTGAGAGCAGACTGCAAGCCCAGTGAAGGAGCCATGGGGATGGGGACGGGGATGGGGATGGAAGGGTGATGCCTGGAGGGGAAGGCCGAGAACAGTCCCCCCACCTCCTGCTGGGGCCTGGGCCGGACAGACTGTCACCTGGGGAGGGTGCGTTCTGAGCCTTGAAGAGGCCCACCACTCCTTTGCCGTGGAGCCCCCCGGACCGCAGCAGGACCGCCTTCGAACGGCTGCTCCGCCAGCACACGACGGGGAAGCGGTTCTGACGGTAACAGCGAGAGATGCGCTGCAGGGTGTTGTCCTGGACGCTCTGGGGTACGATCAGCAGCCCCGGGTAGCTGGAGGCCAAGAAGAGGCGGCGGCTCAGAGACAAGGTGCCCTGCGGCTCCCCGAGGCCGCCTGTGCTCAGGGACCCCTCTGGAGAGGCGCAGGATTGCCCTCTGGGATGGCTTGTCGTCAGCACGTTTTCCTTTCTGTCAGTGAAAATCTGCATCTCTCTCACATCTCCCCATTTCTCCTCGTTCTGATCTCTGGGGCCGGACCCTCCTGCAGCCCCTTCCAGCCTTGCTAATGCTGTCGCCTTCTCCTCCCACCACCCTGGGCACCCTTCTCTGGGCGTGCACCAGCTTCTCCGTGTCCTTGCCTACATGGTGGCCAAGCCCAGACCCAGACAGCAGGCCCAGTGTGGGGTCTGGCCAGAAAGCAAAAGGGCGCTCGCTGCCCGTGTCCAAGCCACGAGGCAGCCAGGAGTACACTGGCTTCTGTGGACTCCTTGTGGCCTGGTGGTCAGCCAAAACCTCCAGATCTTTTTCCCATGAAGAGCTGCCACGGCATTCTGGTCCCGAGCTTGTCACACGGCCTGACAGTGATGGCTGGGGCCCCAGGCCCACCTTGTTTTCCCAGGCCATTGGCCTTATTTCGGATCCTCTCCCCTCTCTTCCCAGCCTGAATGTGACCCAGCAGGTCGGACACCCCAGCGGCGCATTCTCTTCTCGCCTTGAGTCCGTGGCTCCCTGACCTGGCCCCCTGTGCCGACCCTGCTGAATCCCACCCTCCACCTCCTTTGTAATTCCTGCCTGTGGCAGTCGTACTGACGAGACCCTCTACACCTTTCTACCAACCCCAAAAAGGCATGGGAAGGAAGGAGGGAGGGAGGAGGAAAGTCTTTATTAGGAAGCCAAGATGGCGGAGTAAGCAGTAACTCACAGTAACTCTCGCATATTCACCTCCAAACAACCATAAAATAGCACCCCACAACAAATCCTGGAACAGCAGAACCAGCAAAAAGATGGGGCAAACCAATCTTTTAGCCCAAGAAACTTGAAAGATGTGCAAGAAAGGTCTGTCTAACTCAGGTGAAAGGGGAACACATTCCAGGGCAGGAAATGACCCAGCAAGCCAGCAGCAAGCCCCGCCTCAACAAACCGGCAGGAGATCCTGAGCCCCAGTGCAGTGGAGCAGGCAGACACCAACATCAGGACCCCTGACACGCCTCCGGGGCACATTCCAGCTCCGAGAACTGCCATGTGCTTCAACGTAGCCCCACAGAAACACAGAAACACCCCACTGGTGTCAGCACATGCCAGACACCAGCACTAGGACCCTGGCTCAGCAGCAGGTAGGCTGCCAGACCCCTACGCACCCCGGCAGCCCCAGCCATTCCCCAGCCCACCCCCTCAGCGCAGCATTAAACGTGAGGATCCCCTATGGGCCTCAGGGCAACATCACTGGGCACCAGGTAAACAGCCTGGGCCCATAGCCCCAGCACGAGAAACCTTCTACCCCAGGAGCAGAGCTCAAATTTACAAAAAGGGAAAAAGGCCAAAAAACATGAGCAGAAAAACAACAACAAAAAGAATGTGACCACAGAAAGCTGTTATGGTCAGTAACAGGGAACACCAAGACACAAACTCAGAAGAGGACAACAATGTCAAAACACCTACGGGCAAAGCCCCAAACAAAAACGAGAAGTGGCCTCAGGACCTGAAAGAACTCATGGAAGAGCTCAAGAAGTAGCTTTAAAATCAAACAAGAGACGGAGAAGAAGAACTGGGGAAAGAAATGAGAGCGATGCAAGAGAATGATGAAAAAAGAGTCAACAGCTTGGAAAAAGAAAACATCTGCTTACAAAGTAGAATTGGCCAAATGGAAAAGAAAGTACAAAAGCTACCTGAGGAAAACAACTCCTTAAAAGCTAGACTTGGGCGAGTGGAAGCTAATGACTCTAGGAGACATCAAGAATCAATCAAATTCAAAAGAATGGAAAAATAGAAAATGTAAAATACCTCACCGGAAAAACAACTGACCTAGAAAACAGATCCAGGAGAGCCAATGTCAGAATCACTGGAGTACCTGAAAGCCATAATCAGAAGGAGGACCCGGACAGCATCTGTCAAGATATTATCAAGGAAAACTGCCCTGATGTCCTGGAACTAGAGGACAAAAAGAATCCATCGATCACCTCAGGGAAAAGATCGCAAAATAAAAACTCCAAGGAACATTAAAGCCAAATTACAGAACAAATTATAGGTCGAGGAAAAAATACTCCAAGTGGCCAGAAAGAAACAATTCAAATACCAGGGAGCCATAATCAGGATTACACGGGACTTAGCAGCCGCAACATTAAAGGATCAGAGGTCATGGAATGTGATATTCCAGAAGGTAAAGAAGCCAGGACTGCAACCGACAATCACCTACCCAGTGAAATTAAGCATAATGCTTGAAGGGGAAAAAATGGTCATTCAATGAAATAGAAAGATTTCAAGCTTTCCTAAAGAGAAGACCAGAACTGAGCAAAAAAATTTGACTTTCAATATCAAGGCCCAAGAGAAGCCTAAAAAAAGGAAAAAGGACATATGAGGGACTCAATGAAGCTGGACTGTTTACGTTCCTACGTGGGAAGATGATGCTTCTGATTCTCAAAGATTGTACTGCTGATAGTACAGGTAGAAGAAATCTACAGACAAGGTGAACTGGAGGGAATGACATAAAAATAATTACGGAATGAGAAGGAGGAGTACGATGGGTGCGAAAGGGAGAGACAGAAGGGGATAAATTATCTCACATGAAGAAGTGTGAAAAACCAATCACAGGGGAGGGAAGATGGGACGGGGCGACGGGTGTCACTCGAACCTCACTCTCATCAGTACTGGCTCAAAGAGGGAATAATACACACAATCAGCTGAATACAGAAATCTCTCTTACCCAACAGGAAGGTAGGAGGGAAAGAGATAAGTAAAGGCGGGGGCAGGGGAGGACCGACACAAGAGAAGGCAGACGCGGGGAGGCGGCAGACAGCAGCAAAGCACTGTCAAGGAGGGAAAGGGTGAAAGGAGAGAACAAGCAAGAGGAAGACAGGACGGAGGGAGACACACAGTCAGTGATCGAACAGGGCGAACCCTCCCATAAAACAGACGCAGACAGCAGAGTGGGTCAAAAACCAGAATCGTGTAACACGTTGTTTACAAGAAACACGTCTGAGGCAGAGAGGCACATCCGGAGTAAAGGTGAGGGGCTGGAGCAGAATTTACTGCGCTTTGGCTGACGTAAAAAAAGCAGGGGTAGCGATCCCGACGTCAGACAAAGCAAAAGCAAAAAGAGACCCGATGAAAAGAGATAAGGAAGGAAACTTCATCTTACTGAAAGGCACCAAAGATAACGACATCATATCAATACTAAACACACATGTACCAAGTGGTGGAGCATCCAAATCCTTGAAGGAGAAGTTAAGCAAGTTATAGGTTTATGACCAAGCAAGAGAGAGAGAGAGAATTAAAAAAATGTAAATCAGATAATCTGGATTTTATTAAATTAAAAAGCTTTTGCACAAACAAAACCAATGCAACCACGATTAGAAGGGAAGCAGAAAGCTGGGAAACAATGTTTACAGTCAGTGTCTCTGATAAAGGCCTCATTTTTCAAATATATAGAGAACTGAGTCAAATTTATAAGAATACAAGCCATTCCCCAATTGATAAATGGTCAAAGGAGATGAACAGGCAGTTTTCAGATGAAGAAATCAAAGCTATTTATAGGCACATGAGGAAATGCTATAAATCACTTTTGATTAGAGCAGGGGTGGGGAACCTGTGGCCTCAAGGCCACATGTGGCCCTCTGAGTCCTCAAGTGCGGCTCTTTGAATCCAAACTTCACGTAACAAATCCCCTTAATAAAAGGATTTGTTCAGGGGTCGGTAGGTGGCACAGTGGATAGAGCTCCAGTCTTGGAGTCAAGAGGACTTGAGTTTAAATCCGGCCTCAGACACTTCACACTTACTAGCTGTATGACCCTGGGCAAGTCACTTAACCCTGACTGTCTCACCAAAAAGCAAAATAAATAAATAAATAAATAAATAAATAAAGAGGATTTGTTCTGTAAAACTTGGACTCAAGTCAAAAGACCACACACAAGGACCTAGAAGGCCACATGTGACCTTGAGGCCGAAGGTTCCCCACCCCGGATTAGAAAAATGCAAATTAAAACAATTCTGAGGTTACCACCACACACCTATCAGACTGGTCAATATGGCAAAAAAAAAAAAAAAAAAAAAGAATGATAAATGTTGGAGAAGATGTGGGAAAATTAGAACACTAATGCATTGCTGGTAGAGTCGTGAACTGATCCAACCATTCTGGAGAGCAATTTGGAACTATGCCTAAATGGCAACCAAACTGTGCATACCCTTTGATCCAGCAATACACCTACTAGATATATATCCCAAAGGGATCATAAAAAAGGAAAAAAGACTCACGTGTACAAAAATATTCATAGCAGCTCTTTTTGTGGTGGCAAAGAACTGGAAAACGAGGGCATGCCCATCAACTGGGTAATGGCTGAACAAGCTGTGGTATAAAATTGTAATGGAACACTATTGTGCTATAAGAAATGACGAACAGGCTGACTTCAGAAAAACCTGGAAAGACTTGTATGGACTGAGTGAAGTGAGCAGAACCAGGAGAACGTTGTACACAGTAACAGCCACAATGTGTGACGATCACCTGTGAATTACTCAGCAACACTACAATCTAAGACAAGTACAAAGGACTCAGGAAGGAAAATGCCATCGACAGCCAGATAAAGAACTGATGGGCTCTGAATGCAGATCCAAGCACCCTTTTTTCACTTTATTCTCTTTCGTGGGGTTTTTTCCTTTTTGATCTGCTTCTTCTTTCACAACTGTGACTAATATGGAAACAGATTTTACATGATAGCACATGTATAATCTGTGTCAAACTGCCTACCATTTTAAGAAGAGGGGACAGGAGGGAAGGAGAAAAATTTGGAAGGCAAAACCTTGTGAAGATAAATGCTAAAAATTATCTTGACATGTAATTGGGTAAAAAAATAAAATACTATTGGCAATTTTTAAAAAAAGAATCTTTGTGGGGCAGCTAGGTGGCGCAGTGGATAGAGCACCGGCCCTGAAGTCAGGAGTACCTGAGTTCAAATCCGGCCTCAGAAGAAACACTTGACACTTACCAGCTGTATGACCCTAGGCAAGTCACTTAACCCCAATTGCCAATAAATAAATAAATAAATAAATGAGAATGAATCTTTGTGCTAACCACTATAATCTCTGGGGGATCTTAACTCTGAGAGGTAGGTGCAATTATGATGTCCATTTTACAGTTTAAGAAACTGAGGCAGACAGAGGTGAAAGATCATGCAGCCAGAAAGTGTCTGAAGCCCTCTCTATCCACTGTGGTACCACAAGCCCCGAGAGACTACAAACAAACTCCAAAGCCCCACCTGAGAGTGAGCTGTGGCCACCATCGCTGGACAGGACACAGGCCCACACAAACTGGGGCTGATGCCCAACACCCCTAACCTCCAAACTATGGGACATGGAAAGCTTTGCCAAGGCAGAGAGCAGCTGGGTAGGGGATAAGGCAGCAGCACCCACCCCGCCGCCCCTCAGCCACTGTCCTACAGCTGTGTCTCTGCCAGGAGACAAACCAATCTCCCAACACTGATTTGGCTACACAAAGTGGGCACTGCATCCATGCATCTGCCAGATGCCCAACAGGACAGCGACCAGTTCTTGGACTCTTTCTGCATGGTCTCCATGGGACACGAGAGAGAGAGCAGAACCTAGCCCGTGGCAATCTCCAGCTCACGTTCAGGGCCCGGTGAGATGCAGGGCTCATAAGCCAGGCCGGGCCCCCCGGGCCTCCTCTCTTCCCGACTCTCTGGGACATGCCAGCCCCAGCAGCTGCTGTCTCCCTCTCCCTGCCCCCATTCCCTCATCAGCACCTCAAGAACTGGCTCCAGTGCCCCCACTCTGAGCCCAATCTTCGCCGGCATCGCCTCCACACTGCTAGGCCTCTCCCTTCTGGGCCACGGACCTTAGAGCTCTCTGTGATTCGCCTCGTGGCCAGCTCCCTCTCAGACCGACCACTCGCCCCTCAGGTTTGTCTCCTCTTCCTCCCGCTGCCCTGAGGCTCTGTGCCGGCCTGCTTCCCCCTCCTGCGGAGACCCCGTCCCGTGAATTCTGGACCCATCTTTAGGCCGAGGCCTCTTTGCGGTCTCTCTCCACCCCTAATCTTTGCCCCGAGCGCCAGGCTCCCTGGACCTGCTCCTCCCACCAGTCTCCTCTCCACCAATGGATCTCTTCCCAGTCTTTCATCCCTGCCTCTGCCATGGCCTGGCCACATCCTGACCACTCTGCCTTTGTGAACTCTTCCAAATCTGTCTCCTTCGTAGCCCAGCCCATGACCCGCCTGATTCACACTCTGACAGCCTTTCCCCTGGACCACCCTGACACTCCCTAGAGGAGGCAAGGTGGTTCCACCTGGAGCTGGTTCTGCGGCCTCCTCCTTGTGTAACTCCGGCACCAGGCCTGTGTTTCTTCATCCGTCTGAGGAAGAAGGCGGCCCAGATGGCCCCCGGCAGGTGAGCTCACCTGCGGCAGATGGCATACATCCGGTTGACGGGCGTGACCCGGAAGGGCTCAGACTTGGCACGGCTCAGGCTGCTGCTCAGGGTGCCCAGGCCCAGGCGCTGGTAGTCTCGGCAGCAGGCCCGTTCCACGAGGCTGTTCATGGTCAGCCTATCGGAGGGCTTCAGCGCTGAGGCGGGTGTCAGCGTGCTGGGCTCCAGCTCCTCGGACACTGTGGGCCGAGAGCAGAGTCAGGGACCTTGGGGAGGCCACCGAGGAGGGAACGGAGGCGACGTGGCCACCAGCCGCGATGGGAGAGCCAGGCCTCAGACCCAGCTGGGCCCTGTGCTTCCGGCCCCGGAGGAGGGGGCCCTTCCCCACTTCCCCTCAGCCCAAGGGCCCCAAGGCTCCCCACTCCTCCCACACCTGAGATCTCATCCTCCTGGTCCTCAGGGGGCACAGGCTGACCCCGCTGCTCCCAGCTGGGCGGATTGTACTTTTTCCGAGTAACATACTGGCGACTAATTGTCCTTTTGGCATTCTTCACTAGGTTCCGTGACAGGGTCCTAGGTGGAAGAGGAGGGGCAGGTAGGCGTCAGGTGTCAGGAGGTGTGGGGAAGACAGACACACACACACAAATGCGCACACGCATACGTACACACACGCACACACACACGTGGACCAGGGTGCCAGGAGCCAAAGATGGGGGTGAGGGGCAGGGTCTGTCGTGAAAGGCAAGGCCCCAGGGGCTACCTCAGGGAGGGGCTCTTCTCCTTGGCCGTGCGGGGCTGCCGGCCGGTCGTATGAATGGAGCCGGCAGTGAAGGCAAACGTCCCCTTGACGTCTGGCGGGTAGCGTAGTTTGTGCAGGTGTTTCCGGAAGACTTCGGCGCTCTCAGAGCCCACCTCCTCGTCAAACGCCATCTTCAGTAGCTGCAGTGTGAGGACACTCTCAGGAGTCAGAGGTCAGGGGCATGGTCCAAGCGCAGGCCGAGCCCAGAGTTCCCGGGCACAACCAGGGCAAACCCCAGCCAGTACGGACACCCCAGCGCCTTTCTCGAACCCCCGCCCAAAAACGTCTTTCCCTGTGGCTAGACACGCTGACTAGAAGGAAGGCTGTGCAGGACCTCTTTTGCTGAGGCAACCAAATTAAACCAAAAGCAGCGATGGGGAACTGGGGAAGCAGAACCAGCAACACCCTGACGGCCAGCCGAGGCAGTGCGGACGTGGCAGGCGCCGGGGGCACGGGGGCACAACCTGCAGCCGCTGCATGGCCGCCTGCTCCTAGGAGCTGCAGGTTTGGGGTGTGCCGCTTTCCTTTCCTTTCACGTGGACATCCAGATGATGCAGCCATCCAAGAAGACGACTGTTCCTCACGCATCCTCGGCCCCACCTAGCATCTGACGCCCCCTGCCTCCACTTGCCCTCCTGTCATCTGGCACCTGACTGAAGCTGCCTCTCTAGGGCGGCCAGATGCAGAGGCATCCCAGCACACTCTGGCCTCTCGCCCCTCCACCAGCGGCTCCTCCTCCTCCTCACACACAGGCTCTGACCCGGGCGGGTTCCTGTTCTCCTCCCATCCACTGTATGCGCTGACTCACCAATCTCCATGTGCCGTCACCCTCACATTACTTACTGCTTCCCTTCTGCCCCACGCGCCGCAGATATCTCACACTCAACATGCTCAAAACAGAAGTAATGACTCCGTCCCCCGACTCTCCCCTGGCCTGGAGGGCCCCACCTTTCCTATCCCCTGCAAACAGAACCTTGGCATCCTTCTCACCTCCCTGATCGCCGTCATCTCACAGATCTGATCCAGCACCACAGACCCTCCCACATCCAACCCCTTCTCTTCGTGACCCCCTCGGCCGCCATCTCGCTCAGGGCTTCGCCTCTTCTCCCCTGCACTGACTGCCGCAATGGCCTCCCGCTGCAGTCCATCCTTCGCTGAACTGCCCAACCAACATCAGTCTGTGTTATTTCCTCACTCAAGAAACCACAGTGGCTCCCTATGGCTACAAATATAAACTCCTGTTTGTGTTTAAAGGCCAGCTCCGTGTACAATGAAGCTTTGTCACAGGTCCCTCCCCTTCCCATACTTTTTGGGGAGTGGGTCACACTGTCCACTTCTCGTCTTGGGGCCCTCGTGCTCCTTCCTCTTCTCCTTCCTCCCAGCATCCCCTTCTACACCAAGCCCTTCCTGATCTCCCCAGCACCTCGTACCTATTTCACAGTGCCTCCATGTACATGGTGTCTCTCCCATTAGATTTTAGGCTCTTTTTTTGGGGGGGGGGAGACTTTTTTACTTTGGTCTTTGCATCACCAGTACATACCACACTGTGTGTTGGTCAGTGACTGACACCCAAAATGCAGCTAGGGATAAATGTTGAAGCTGCTCTAGAAAACAGCTCAGTCACAAAGGGTATGACAGGTTGGGACAGGTCAAAACAAAGAAGGTAGAATTTAGCGGGACCAATACGCACCTGGGTCTAAACAAGCAATCGTAAAAGACGACGCTATGGCCTTCACTCAAGAGCGTCTCCTCCATTCGTCTAGCCAATAAGCATTTAAGCACCCCCTGTGCTAAGTGCTGGGGGCCTTTTCATGCCCAACAGAAACACCAACCCCAGGATGGGGTCAGGCATCCATCTGCCCGCTCACTCCGGAGCTGGACTCTTGCCCGACTTGGGGCCTCCCTCTTTGACAAGTGGGGAATTTCCACAGAAGAATGGCTGAAGGAACAGGGAGAATTTTATAGGAAAACACCGGAGGCCCAAAGTCGGTCTGGTGGAAGAAGGGACAAACGTGGGAGCTGTACCTCCAAAGGCCAGAGGGAGGCCCCGGGGGAAGAGAGCACGGGCCAACGTCAGCTCCATTTTGGAAGAATGTCCTAACCGGTAGGCCTGTCACTGAGGCAGTGAGTTAGACGTCCTAGGGGCCACTTATCAGGGATGCCTAGGGGGACCCCTACCACGGGGTGACAACGGACTAGGCTTCTGAAGAAGGGAAGAGATGCTTTCAAAAGTGCCAGAAACAGACAAGGAGGAGAGCTGTGGAAGGAGACCAGCAAAGGTGCCCGCTGACCAAGTCAGATCATGCGGCAAAGGGCACGCGGAGAGGTGAGGAATTCGCATGCAGAGGTGGCAGGGGATGTCTGCATAAGCATAAAGCAGGGGGTGGAGAGGGGAGGAGGAGGAGAGGTCAGGGGGAGGGCAGGGGAAGGGGGAGAGTGAGAGGCAGGAGAGGAGAGGAGGAGGGCAAGAGGGAGGACGGGGAGGCAGGGTTCAGCAGCCGAACTGGCCACAGGTGGCGGGTAGGGGGGCAAAGTCCCACAGAACAGGTCCCCGGGCTCTGCGCTGCTGTCCCCACTTCTCTCTTTTGGGGAAGGGGAGCTCTGGCTCACTGCAGACCTCAGTTTTAGCCCCCAGTCCCTCAGAGTGGGCACGGACAAGGCAGCCTCCACTGGCCCCCGAGAAGCCTGAGGCTCGGACCTGGAATGTACACGAGCGAAGCTGCAGCCCGTCCTGCAGGAACTGGTCCACGTGCGCCTGGACGCTGATTCGCTTCTCCTTGGTGAGGGAGGCCACTGGGAAGGACCGGACGACAACCTGTTCCCCCACTGGGGGGACACAGAGAGTCACGAGGGGTCACGGAGGAGGGTCGGGGGGAGGAGCGGGAGGGGGTGTCCATCGGCAGCATGGCCAGGCCCGGAGGGCGTGCGGGGGAGGGACGCCAGGGGCCCCGAACAGGTCCTCACCCAGGGGATCCGTGGGCATCCCGGTGAAGATGACCCGGTAGGTGGTGAGAAAGACGGCCCCCTCGGCGGGCAGGAGGGCCGGCCCCCCGACGCTGCCCCCGGAGCCCTCCTCCCGGCCGTCGGGCAGAAGGTAGACCCGGAGGCCGTCCAGTACGCACTCCTCTCCCGGGAGCAGGCTGGGCCGCAGCAGCTTGGGCTGGGGGATGGAGAGGCGGGCGAGGGCTCAGGGGAGGGCCGGCCCCCAGACCCTGACCTCCCTCCCCGTGCCCCGGCCCGTGCCCGCGCCTCACCTTCTGGATAGGAGGCAGCCTCTTGCTCTCACGGTGCACGGCCTCCAAGGTCTCGATGTGCATCTGGACGATGTCTGGAGGAGGGAGGGTCCCCTTAGCTCCCCACAGCGCGGGGACCCCCTCTCACCCGCCCACCCACGCCAGCCACGCCCTACCTGGCACCATGACGTGCAGCCCCTTCAGGTGCTCACTGGTGACGCCGCTCTCGGTGCACACCTTGTCCACAAAGCGGTTGATGAAGCGCACCACGGCCCCGGCCACATCCGACGTCTCGGCGTCCTCGAAGCCGCTCTCTGTGTCGTAACTCTCGGCCACGCTGCCCGCCATGCTGTGCCAGGAGGAGGGGGTGGGCATGGCGGTCCCCTGACCCCCCCCGCCCCCCCCGGCCCCGCCCACGCCCACAGGCCCACCTGTTGGTGACCACGCTGTTGCTCATGCTCTCCAGGTCACCCAGGCCAGCCCGCTCGCGCAGCAGACGGCTCTTGCTGCTGTCCAGGGGCAGCAGGAGGTAGCTCATGCGGTTGGCGTAGTGGATGGCCTGGCTGAACACGGTGCTCTCCTCCTTCTGCACCAGCTCCTGCTGCTTGTCCCGGCCCAGCGTGGGCCACAAGCGCCGCTGCTCCGAGGCCACGTCCAGAGCTGACCTCTCCTCCTCCTCGTCCTCCTCCCCTGGGGCGCCGACCTCGGTGGGGCCCACCTCCCCCTGCCCCAGGGAGCGGGAGGGAGCCCTCAGCAGGCGCTCCGAGGAGAGTGGTCTCTGCCCCCACCCCCACCCTGGGGCTCCCAGGGGCTGGCAGGGCCACGTCTCCCCCCCCACAGACACACACTCGGGGCTCCCGGGGGCTGGCAGGGCCACGTCTCCCCCCCCACAGACACACACTCGGGGCTCCCGGGGGCCGACAGGACCACATCTCCCCCCCCACAGACACACACTTGGGGCTCCCCAAGGGCAGGGCCCTGCCTTCCCTGGCCCCACCTTAGCTGAAGGGCCATCCTCCTCCTCCGTGGGCTCCAAGTAGAGGGCACGGATGTGCGTCTGCACGTCCCCATAGAACATGGCCTCCCAGAACTGGGGGGTGCTCCACACCATGTGTTCCTGGACGCAGCTATACGCAAACTGTGTCACCCCAGGGCTCAGTTTCTAGAGAGACCAGCCAAGGGTCACCACCAAGAAGCCTTCCAGATGGGAGCAGCAGGGAAGCTCAGCACGAGGGCTCGGAGGCCTCGGTGCGAGTCTGTCCTGAGCAACAGCTGGGGAGGGGTCAGGGCACAGGGCCCCAGGCCCGCACGCAGGGGAGGGAGGGACTCCGGGGGGCCGTAACTCACCCTACAGAAGGCGGTGACCAGGGGCAGCAGGGCTGCGGCGATGCCGTGCTCGTCCATGGCCGTGCAATCCTGGGGAGCACAGGGCCGCGGGGTCACTCCTGGCACAAGGCGACCGCCCCGCCCCGCCTTGCCTTGCCCCCGCCCGCAGGCCGTGGCCCTCACCTGCAGGCAGCAGTTCATCATGCGCACCACAAAGTCAAACTGCTGGTGGTCCAGGACGGCGCGGTTCTGCTGGACGTGCAGATGGAGCTCCCGCGTGAGGCAGCGGCGGGCGGCCCGGCCCTTCAGAGCCCGCAGCACGGCGGGAAGCAGCTGGAGGCACAGGGCAGTGAGGCCATAGTGCCTGCCTCCCCCCAGGGCCCCCCACCTCCTGGCCAGCCCCCCCTCACCTTCTTGGCCTCCAGCATTTTCCCCTCAAAGACGTAAGAGATGCAGTTTCGGACGACCTCGAGCCGCCGGGCGCTGTTGGCGTGGACGGCACCATTGCGCTCAACGATGGCAGCTGGGGAGTGAGTGGGATCAGTGGCATCCGCCTGCCCAGCCTAGCCCACCACCCCCCCGCCCCAAACCCCGGCAGGGGGCTCACCCATGGGGGGTCCCGAGGGCACAGTGGCCTTCTTCTCGGCCCGCACGGCGGGGGGCGCGCCCTGCAGCTTGGCGGTGGCCTGGTCGATAATCCACTGCACGGTGCTCTCATCCAGGCGCGGGAAGGGGCGTGGCGGCACCCGCCGCAGGTGGCTGCCCTCCCCAGGCCTCTGTACTTTGTGCATCGTCACGGCGGGGTACGGGTTCTCCTGGCAGGGCACAGGGGCGAGGGTCACCTGAGGGTCGGCAGGCCGGCCCCCACCCCCCCCACCCCTGGCTCCACAGCCCCCTACATTCTTGTACAGCTGCTCCGCGAGCTCCTTCACGTGGCGCAGGACGCGGTGTGGCTGGTTCTCGTCGGCCCGCATCCGCTTCACCTCGTTGGCCACCAGCTAAGAAGAGGGAGGAGAGCAGGGAAGAAGGGGGGCCCCAGCAGAGGGACAGCCCCCCGCCACCCCGGAGCGGCCCATACCTCATCGAACAGGTCCGTGGTCCGATAGGGGACGCCCCGTTCCGACACGAAGCCCGCGAAGGCCATGCCCTCCAGCACCTTCAGCAAGAAGTCATCCTCCACCAGGCCCCGCTGGCCCAGGAACGCGGCCTGAGGAACAGGGACGGAGGCTCAGGGCCCTGGCTCTCGGCCTCGGGGGTCCCTAGCCGGTGGGGGCCGCGGGGCTCACCTTGTGGAAGCGGATCACGGGCTCAGGATGAATGCGCACTATGTGCAGGCACCAGCGATAGCCTTGGAGCAGCTGAGCAAAGAGACGCAGGAACACAGCCCGGAGCTCCTTGTCCTAGGGAAGCGGGGCCTGAGCTCCTGGTGGGAGTGCCCACGGGGGGCCTGGCGGGGCCTCCCTTCCTCTTTCTGTCCCTGACAGGGCAGGAACCCCTGGGGGGCCCGACCTCAGCACCCAGTCACCCCTGCTCCCCACCCCCAAAATACCTGCATCTTCAAGGAAGAGGTGGAGGTGGCCGGGGGAGGAAAGGCCAGGTCAGCGCGCTCCAGCTCAGGGTCCAGGACCTGCAGAGACAGGCAGACTGGAGCAGGGGCAGGAGGCACGGGGGTGCTCACCGGCTGAGGGGCAATACCCGAGTACCTCCACGGGCCCAGGGCTCGCCTCCCAAAGCGTGCCTGGGACCTCCCCCCATCCCCCTGGCTCTAGCGCTTGGGGCCCCCAGCCTCACTCACCATGCAGAGGGCACTGTGAGTCTGGCTGTGCAGGGGCTCAGGGAGCGGGGGGATGTGCACACATTCTGGGACAGTGACCGTCCCCCCATCCAAATCAGCGATGATCACGTCGAGCTGTGAGCAGGTAGGAGCAGTGCTGGGCTCAGGGACACGGCACCCGGCAAGGTGAGCCCCGTGGTGGGGAACCACGCGGGAGGGGATAGGAACAAAGGCTAGGGGAGGACCCCAAGAGAACGACGACAGGTGACACGTGTAGAGTGATTACTATGTGCCAGAGACAGCTAAGGGAGGGTAGCGCTATTATGATTCCCATCTTGAGGCAGACAGAGGTAAAGTGACTCGGCCAGGGTCACACAGACAGTGAGTGCCCAAGGCCAAATGTGGGGCTCCATCCACCGCTAGGTTAGGAGAAGGATGAGAGGTGGGAGGTCAGAAGGCCAGGAATGGGGCGGGGGCAGGGCAGGCTGCCCCGGCTCTCCAAATCTCCTCACCAGCTCCTGGGTCTCTGCCTGGAACAGGGAGTTGACGCCAATGATGAACGGTGTGGGGGTGCTGAGAACTTCGAGGAGCTGCGCGGGCAGGATGGGCACGTAGGTAAAGCTGAAACAGTTGGGGGGTGTCAGAAGCGACCCCGGAGCTGGGGGAGGCGGGCACGGGGGCATCCCCCGTGGATACGAGGCAGCCAGGAGGCCGAGGGCAGGGCCAGGGGAGGCCTGGGGCCTGGTACCTGTATCTGAGGGGGAAAAGCAGGGCAAGCAGGCCCCGGCACGCATCAGTGAGCCGCTGGTAACTCCGTGACAGGAACAGAATCTTGTGCTCTGTGAGAGCGGCACAGAACAAAGCCAGCACGTTGGTGATACCTGGGAGCAGACGGTGGGCTCAGGCGGTGCCCCCTCCCCAGAAGGCAGAGGACGGGCAGGCCACGAGGGCCCGGCCCAGCCCCCACAGGGCTCTTCACTAAACAAGCCTGACAAGTGAAGACCCCCCCGCCCCCCAAAGTGAGGAGGAGCCCCCAGCCGCTGCACAGCCCCATCCCACCTGCAAGAAGTTCTTGTGAGGGAGGGCGGCTTTTCCTCTGTCTACCCCTCTGAAGCATGCATCCTCCTGCGCTCCTGGTTCTGCCCCCCAGGCTAAGCCGCCCCCATAGACAACAGCTCACCCGTCATCCCGTCATCCCCTAGAACCTTCGTCTGCCCAACCAAGTCAGGGCCTCACCCAGCTGTCGGAAGAGTAGGGCCACGCTACAGCAGCTGACGGGCAGTGAGTCCGTGAGGGGCGTCTGGATCACCTGCCGGTCACCGGCGCCCAGGGAGATGGTCCTCTGCGGAGAGGGACAGGGTAGGCTTAGCTCCCGGGGCCACGCTGGAGCCTCATTCTTCTCTGTCCCCTCCCAACTGCAGGTTCTCTCCCCCAGGCTCATGCCCCACGGCTACCAAAGGGCCGTGCCTGGCATTTCCCGGCCCAGCCTGGAGAGAGGGACCGGCCCCCCTCCCCAGGCTGCCTCGGGGGACACGGACAGATACAGGGGCCCTGGGGTGGGGGGTCAGTGGTCCATACCGCTCCTTCCTCCACAGAGTCCGGCTGCGCAGGACAGACAGAGAGACACAATTAGAGACACACGACCAATCAGATAAGGGGGCGAGGAAAGAGCCACCCCAAACGGAAGGGCGGACAGAGGTGCCCAGGAACTGAGAGGACAGACACACAGGTGCCCAGAGAATAAGAGGACAGACAGAGGCCTGAAAGCAAAAGGCACAGAGACAGACCCAGGGAGTCAGAGGACGGACGGGATCCCCAGACAGTGAGGGGAGAGACTGACGTGACACTGCGGAAGAGGAGGGGCCGGGAAGCCTCTCCCCCAAGCCGCCCCGAGGCTGGGCCCACCTGGGAGCCCCCGGTGATGGGAATGGTGCAAGTGAGCAGGTTGCCGATGACGTTCTCCAGGGACACGCTCAGTCCCTCCACGTGGATCGTATAGATGAGACCGAGGCTGTTCTGCAGAAAAGGAGGGGCCGGGAGCCATGGTCAGGGGGCAGGAATCTCAGGCACGTGGTGCCCAGACCCACCCGACATGGCCCCCTCCTCACCCGGAACACCTCGGCATGGTCCAGCCGGGACACCAGCACCAGGGTCTTTGGGGCAAACAGCTGGGTTGGGGGCACCAGGGCTGAAGGTGAAGCCCTCTCTCCAGCCTCCTCCTCTTCCTCTCCACTGCATGCTGGGGCCTGGGGGAAGGGAGGGGAGGACGGCCCCAGGTGAGTCCTTCTTCTCCACCCTCTCGGAATCCGGTCCCCCACCCCACCTCCCCACCCCGCCTCCGGCCTGACCTGGGAGGGCTCCACAGGCTCCCAGAAGGTCAGGCAGGCACAGTAATGCCGCTCTGAGTTGATGTCAGTGAGAACAGCAATGAAGAAGGTCGGCGGGTTCCGCTCAGGGCACAACTGCCACCCACTCGGCTGGCAGAACTGGAAGGAAGGGAGGAATAAGGAATCAGCCACCCCGGCCCGGGAGTCCCTGCTGTCAGATGTCACCTCCAGCCGTGGGTGCATTGGCTGTCACTGACTCACTGGGTGACCAGGGTGTCTCGGAACTTCAGTTTCCTCATCTTAAAAACCGGGGCGCAACAGCTGCCCTCCTCACCTCTCTGAGGACTCGCAGAGACACTGAGCACAGCAGGGCTGCAGCATGGTCCTAACAAAGGGCTTCCGTCTAAGGAGGTGCCCGTCCCCCGCCAAGCCTCCCCCGAGACCAGCAAGCCTGCACAGACCCTGAACCTGCTCCCTGCCTCCATTGATCCCGGGCCTAACCCGAGACTCAAGGCTCATTCCTGGCCCAAGGCCTCAGACCCCAGGAAATCAGGCCCTCCCAGCCATGCCATCCATCCTCCCTGCCCAGAGCTGGCAGGGGAAGGGGAGGCAGGAGCCCAGCACGCCCCAGTGTGGCTCTCCCAACGCCTAACACTGGGCCCAGCCAGGCCCGGACACTCCCCTCAGGTCACAGCTCTGACTCCGCAGCGTCCCCACAACTCACCAGCTCAATTCCTTGGGGAAACGGGTTATCCTCCCAATCCTTCTCCGGGAAACGCTGGAGGATCTGCCCATGGCCTTCCCCACTCCCTGTGGGCACAAGAGGCCAGCGATCAGAGACACAGACCCACCCAGAGCAGCCTCTGGCTACCCTCCCCAAGCCCAAGCCTCAGTGTGCCATTCCCCCCCTGCTGCCACAAGATGCTGGTCTAGGGAGCTCTGAGATCAGACCCCTTCAAAGACATGAGATGGGGAGAGCCCTGAAGGCGACTGTGCATGTGTGTGCTGGGGGGGGGGGGCGACAGACGGCACTCAGGGGGCACTGAGGCAAGGTCATGGGCCCAGCTCTGGCCTCTTGCAGAGACCAGACACACCCGGGCATCGCCCACCGTGTGCTGGGCTCGCTCAGCACGGAGGCTACGAAGGAAGGCAAAGGCCCTGCCCCCAAGGACCTACAGACAACAGGAAGTCCTCTACAGGGGGAAGAGAGAGTAAGAGGCAACATTTCTAGTTCCTACTATGTGCCAGGTCTAAGCGCTTTACAGTTATGAGCTTGTATGATCCTCCCAACAGCTCTAGAAGGGAGGGACTGTTATCCCCATTTTACAGAGGAGGAAACTGAGGCAAACAGGTGACTTGTCCAGGCTCACACAGCTAGTGAGTCTCCAAAGAAGGGTGGGGATGAGGAAAGGCTTCGTGGAGAAGGTAGGATTTTAGCTGAGATTTGAAAGAAGTCAGGTGGCAGTGATGAGGAGGGAGAGTGTTCCTGGCATGGAGGTAGGGAGCAAGGAAAAATGCCCAGACCCAAGAGGCCGATGTCATCGGACTGAAGAGTACGTCGTGGGGAAGGTGGTGGAAGAAGACTGCAGAGGGAGGAGGGGCCAGGTCACAAGGGGCTTTGAATGAACACCAAACAGAAGACTTTGTATTTGATGCTGGAGGCCATAGGGAGCCACAGAAGTTTGCTGGTAGGGAGGGAGAGTATAACAGGGCTGGGGCTGAACTTTAGGGAAATCACCCTGGTGGCTGAGTGGCGTGGGGAGAGATTCAAGGCAGGCAATTAAAATAGCCCGGGCAGGAGGGGATGAGGGCCAGGTGACTGGGAGGATGATCATGCCCTCCACAGAACTGAGAAAGGGCGGAAGAGGGGAGGGCCTGGATGGAAAGGCAGAGAATTCAGTTGGGGACAGGGTGACGCTGAGATGGCCATGGTACATCCTGTTCGAATCGTCCAAGAGGCAGGTGGAGAGGTGAGTCTGGTAGCAGGCAGGCTAGAGAGTGACTCCTCACACCACCCTGCCCAAAAGGTGTCCGCTCACGCCTCCCCTCAGCCCACACGAGGCCTCCAGAGCTCCACCCTGGGCACCATGCCTCACCCCTGCCACCCCAAGCAACTCCACCTCCCGCGGGCCCCAGGCGGCTCCCAAACCCACAATTTCCACCCAAAATAGTCCTGTGTGGAGACAGGAGAGCAGAAGGCACCCACCCTCCGGCTACCCAAGGACACGAAGAGAAAGAGGCTAGAGGAAAACCCTGGTTCCAAGTCTGTTTCATTCCATGTGGGCATCAGGGGCTTGCCCTTGAGAAGGGCAAACAGCAGGTCTCTGCCTAAGCCACAGACAGGAGAAGCCCTCCACTACCATAGTCCCCTCCTGGGGTAACCTCGTTCTCCAGCCTTGGAGGGGTTATAGCTGTGGCATCCCCCCACCCCCCAACACACCCTGCCCAAAACCTTGGTCAGAATTTCCCCAGTGGCTGGGCTATACCCAACCTGGCGATGGCTCTGCCAGGCTGCAGGAGCCCCAGCACCACTCTCCTCTTGGAGCAGCGGGCAATGATGGGCTGGTTAATGCTTTTCTGTCCCCAGATGTCCACATACATCAGCTGTGCTTGCCTGGGATGGGGGTGGCGGGGAGAAAGAGGCCAGCTTGTCTCTAAGAGGAGGCAAGCTCATTCTTCTACCAAGAAGGTAAATGAGACAGGGAACTGAGACCACCCCATGCCCATCGAGGTCAGAAATTCAAAAGCACCTCCTCCCAAGCTAGAAGGAAGGTGTCTAACCTGGGCCCCCAAGCTGGAGGGGAGACACACTGCCTTCTTTGTATCAGGGCTGCTCCACGTGCCAGACAGAGGAAACCCTGCACAGGCCAGAAGACGGGTAAGTGCCCTCCCCGGCCATGGGGCTGGGTCAGTCAGAACCCGAGCTCGGCCCGGCCACAACCATTCCTTCTTGGAGAGCCCTGAAACCTCAAATGGAGTAAGTCCCAAGAGCTTCTGGGTCACCTTCTTACAGGAGCAGCTATTTTAAGCTGGACGGCCTCAAAAGTCATTTGGTGTCCCCCCCCCCCCAATTATATCATGCTGCCTTTTATCCCAGCCCAGCTGTATGTTGGGACGCGGGGGGGGGGGTAATTCTGTACCACTCTCCTCTACTCCCACCGCTGTCCACACGGGCACATTCACTAGGTGCCCTGCCAACAGCTGGGAGAATGGTGGGGCCCAAAAGGTGGGCTCTTCCACCTGAAGCATGCAGCCAGTGAGGGCCTCAAGTGGGTCCTAGCACAGACAGAAAGGGTGGGACAGGGCAGCACCAGCCCCACAAAGCAGGAGGGAGCCCCAGGTAGCCTGCCCACTGCAATCCCTGCCTGCCTGCCTGCCTTACCGCAGTGAGCCAGTAGGCAGAGCCAAGCCAGCTTCCTAGGCCTCGGGGAAGGCAGGACAAGGCGCCCCTCCCCAACACACTCAGAAGTCATCCCCAAGTCTAAGAAAGCAGCCAGAAACCAGTGCGGTCTCCAGGGAAAGGGAAGTTACAAGGAGGAGAGGCAGAAAGCAGGCATCCTACCCTCCCCCTCACGTCCCTCACTCCAGGGCCCCTCCAGCAGGCTCCAAACATAGCCCATACCAACTCTCTTGCCCCCAGCCCAACCCCACGGCCTTCCCAGGGCTTCTGGGGGCCTGATTCAAGATCCCTCCCCTCCCCCTGATGGAAGAGAGCCACAACTACGGCCAAGGGGCTGAGGGTCTCTAAGGCCAGGCAAGCACTCCCAAAGCCCAGGCCTCACCTCCGAAGGGGGCTCACCACCCCAGCACTCCTTCCCCACGAAGACCGGGGGAATCTGGAGGCCAGCAGAGAACAAGCAAGACTCTTGTTCTCCTTTCCATCCACTCCCACCAAAAAGAGAGCAGAGAAAAAAAGGCCCCAAGAGAGGATCTGAGAGATTCCACTTCTGGGAAATGCTGTTGAGCAAGCCGAAATCCCCTCCTTCTCCCCAGCCTGAAGGATGGAGGAGGAGCATGGGACCACCAGTCAGATGGACAAGCCATGGCTCCAGCCCCAGGCTGACCCCATCATTCGAGAAAGCCCCAGCTGATGGGATCAGTAGCATCTGATGGGAAGTCACCCTCCTCTTGGCAAAAAGGAATAGCCCATTCTCGCCTACCTTTCCCCTTTCCCCACAGGGAGGGTGGAAGGCCGAAAACAGGACCAAAAGCCCACCACGAAAAGGGGAATGAGGCACTGGAAGACAGTGTGGCATCTGGACTCTGGAAAACCTATATTCAAATCCAGCCTCAGACACTTAGTAGCTGTGTGACCCTAGGCCAGTCACTTCCCCCGTCTGCCTCAGTTTCCTCATTGGTAAAATGAGGATAATAATAGCACTGACCTCCCAGAGTCATGGAGGGGCTCAAATGGGAGAATGCATGGGATGCCTTCTGGGTTCAAGCCCTGCCTGTGACTCCTACTGGCTATGTGACCCTGGCCAGGCCCCTCAGCCTCTCAGTGACTTTGGCAACACTCCTAGGCTACAGAAGACGAGGGGACGATGGGCTCCGCTAAATGGGAAAGAGTTTCCGTGCCAAGAGTTCCCCAGGGGCCCCGGACCAATCAATGTCAGGCCTGATCACCAGGCACAGCCAGTCCGGGGGAGGGTGGAGCCCAGACACCCAAAGGAAAGGTCCCACTCACCACGAGCCAGGCCTGACTGTGGCCACGGCTGACGGGCTGAGGGGCCACGGAGGTGCCCGAAGAGGGGCCCAGAGCCCCGGTGCCAAGGGCTGTGGGCGGGAGCCACGGGGGCCCAGAGCACTGACTATATAAGGGCACTGAGGGCTCCGGGAGGCTGCTCACAAAACCTCAGCTTCCTGCTCCCCTCTTCCTGCCCTGCCTCACCACGAGCCGCCACAAAGGCAGAGAACCATGGAGGGGGGGGGTACAGAGGATGACAGTCCCTGACACACACAAGGCCCCCTGACCACAGTGCCGTTCAGGTGGGTCCGCCTCTTCATGACCCCAGGGACCATAGCACGCCAGCACTGGCCATAGGATTGTCTTCCCGAGGATATCGGAGGGGTTTGCTATTTTCTTCTCCAGTGGATTAAGGCAAACAGGGTTCAGTGACTTGCCTAGGGTCACACAGCTAGTAAGCATCTGAGGCCAGATTGGAACTCAGGTCTTCCTGACTCCAGGCCCAGCGCTCTATCCACTGCCGCACCCCCTAGCTTTCTTCACCTTGACCATGGCAGGGGCAATTACTGGACAAGGTGCCCACTGGAGGAGGGGTGGGGGGGCAGAGCTTTCCTAAGGGTGAGGAAGGCAATGCACTCGCTGTCCCCCACCCACCTGGAGCCTCAGGCCCTCCTCTCTGCATCCAATGCAGGCAGCTCACTGACCAAAGACCAGAGGTCGCATTACACCACGCTACTGGCTCAGAACGGAGAGGCCTAGTGCCACACAACCCTCCTCCTGTTACTGCCCTGAGGAAATCTCCCCCACCCGCCCCGTGAGCTCCTACCATGGCCTGGGCAAGGCCCCTCCGGTTCTGAGGCCAGAGAGCCCAGGCAGAATAGCATAGCGCCCACTGCCACCTCCACCCCAGGCCACCACCACGAGGTGACTGCTGTACTCAGGAGCCATCCGGGTCTGCTCACGGCAAAATTCAGGCCAAACTCTTGGAGTGGCACTTTGGTGAGAGGGGCTGAGGGTCCCGAGCCAGGAGAAGAGGCCAGAGTCAGACAAGGCCATCGTTCTCAAGTCTAGCTGATGGTTCTGCCTGGGGTGTGGCCTAGCATCTTTGAATGCGAAGGGCTGACTCATGGGAGAGGCATGAGATGTGATCTGCTAGGCCCCGGCAAGGCCCAAATAGCCAATCCACTAAGGTTTCTACACCTTACAACAACTCCATGAGGTGGGCGCTATTAACGTCCCCATTTTACAGATGAGGAAACTGCAACAGACAGAGGGGAAGTGACCTGCCCAGGGTCACCCAACTAGTGAATGTTTGAGACCGGATTGGAACTCAGGTCTTCCTGACTCCAAATCCAGCCAGCTGCCCGAGAGGCAGGGTCCCCTTCCCCAGAAGTCTTCAGGCACAGAGTGGACCACCCCTCACAGGGCCAAAGAAAGAATTCTTTTCAGGTAACAGTCTGGCTAGATCACTTCCAACCCCCAGGTCACGTGATTCTGTAAGCTGGCATTCAAGGCCTCTGAGAGCACGGCTCAGCCCCAGGACGTCCCAGGCACTGCTGGCCCCCTCTTCTCCAGGTGGTCTGATCGTGCCTGCATCTCTGCCCCTTCACCGTGAGGGTTTCCTGGGGCTCTGTCCTAGCTGGACGCTCCTCCCCTCTCCCTCATTAACCTGGATGCCTCTCAGAACTCGTCCTCCAGCCCCATTCTCCCCCCTGACCCTCAGTCCTCCAGCACGACGGCTCATCAGCTCATCAGATCCCTCCAACTGCGTGGCCCAGACACGCCCCAAACTCATCCTTTCTCCCCAAACCCTCTTCCCCAGCCTCCCTGGGCATTACCCTACCTGAGCTGGTTAGAAAACAAGAATCTATTAAGCACCTACTACATGCTGGGCACTAGGCTAAGAGCCCAAGCCCTGCCCTCCAGGAGCTCTCAGTCTAGTGGGAGCTTCAAACAGCCAAGTGCAAACAAGCCACAGACAGGAGCAATGGGAGATGAGGGAGCCTCCTTCCCCCACACATCTACCTTGACAGCCTTCTCCACTCACAAGGGCCCCGCCACAACCTCCCAGCAGGCCTCTCACCCTAGGTCTCTCCCCATCCCTGCTGCCAAGATGATTTGCTTTAAGTCCAGCCTGACTTTCCTGCTCTCCTGATTTAGACCAGAATGGCTCTCCATGGCCTCCTCAGTTTAGCTTATAAAGCCCCGCCCCACCCCCCCAGCCTCCTCTTTGATCTAGCCCATTGCACACATCTCCGGTCACCAGGCCTTTGCAAGAATCAGGCCAGCAGTGCCCTCCCACCTCAATGCCTCCTCAGAGAATTCCTCTCTTCCTTCAAGATACAGATCAGAGAGACTGCACCGGGCAGTTGACTGGGGGGGGCGGGGGCGGGAAGCTAGACGCCGAGATGGATGCGTTCCTAATGATCCGGCGCCACAAGGCAACGATCTTCACAGACGCGAAGGAGTGGAGCACAGTGTTTGGGCTGAAGCGCATCCTTCATAGAAGGCATCCTCAAGAGGCCCCCAGATGAGGAGCGGCTCTATAAGGACGACCAGCTGCTGGATGACAGTAAGACCCTGGGCAAGTGTGGCTTCACGAGTCAGACAGCCAGGCCTCAAGCACCAGCCACTGTGGGGCTGGCCTTTCAAGCTGATGATGTATTTGAAACATTGCGCACTGAGTCCTTCTCCAGCCCTCCAGAACTGCCAGATGTCATGAAGCCTCAAGACTCTGCAAGTGGCACCAATGAGCAAGCCGTGCAGTAAGGGCCCAAGGCCCCACCCCCTACAGTGGCCTAATACAATAAAAAATTCTGGTGTTAAAAAAAAAAAGACACAGATCAGGCAAGCACCACTATCAGAAGCCCTTCCTGACCTCCCTCCCATCAAGCAGTTGGATGGGCGCAGGAGCGCCCTCCCCAGACTGGTCCTGCTTCCGGCCCGGTCCTCACAGCCACCACCCAGGGAGGCAGCTCCCACGGAGAAGGGGCCAGCCATCCCCACCGGCTGCCACCCACAGGGCAGGCCCCCGCCGAGCTGAAGCGGCAGGACCCTGAGGGAGAGACAGGAGGCAGCAGGTGCTGGGCAGCTCAAACCACCACCTCCCCTCAGACTCTGATGCAGACAGCCCAGGACCCCGAACCCAAGAGGTCGCCCTGTGCCCTCCGCCCCATCCTGGGGAGCTGCAGCCACGGGGAGCGAGGACCCAGACAAGAACGTGTCCTTGGCCCCGTCCGGTGGTTCAGCGTCAGAAGCGGGTGGGATTTCAACAGTGGAAATGGCACGGAAGACGAGGCCGGACCACCCGCTTTGCTGCTGCCCCCGAAGGCCCAGGGGACCTCTGCGTGTCTGCTGCAACTGTAGCTGAGGCCTTCCCCAGGCGTCGTCTCCTCGGGCAGCCTGGGAGTGCTCTGAGAGCAGGGACCGTCTCCCGTTCTACTGGATGCCCAGTGGCCCGGTTCTTGGCACACAGTAAGTGCCTACTCCAGACTTCATTCATTCATCTGTATTTATTCTGGCTGTACTTATATATGTCCTTACTGTTCCCTCCACTGGAATCTCACTTGAGTGAGGCACATTTCATTCTGTGTCCCTGTATGCCCAGCACAGCGCCTGGCACCCACTAGGTGCTTACTTGATGTTCCCTGCGTGGCTCAGGGTGGAAGGCCTGAGCACCTTCAGCACTGGACTCTCGAAGGCTGTGTTAGCGCTAGGGACCACTAGGGACCGACGGCCACAGGCCAGAGAATCCTCACGGCTTTGAACTCGAACTGAGGCCCACCCAGAGCGGTGAGCGCTTTGCTTAGGGTCCCCTAGAGAAGTGGAAGGTGGCAGAGCCGGCACTGATTGCAGCAGCTGCCTCCAAAGCACAGCAGAAGCCCACGTGCCCACTCTCCGGCCAAGCCCTTAGGAAATGCTCGGGGGCAGGGGATGGAGCCCGGAGCCCAGAGCCCATGACGCTGTGCTGGTTCCTTTCTGAGAAAGGCTTGGGGACACAGGACACAGAGGTTAGGGAAAGGCAGGGACCACCTGCTTCCTGGTTTTCCACACCCTGCTCTGGGCCAGGGCAGCCTCGTAGACAAGCATGTGAAAAGCGAAGTCAGAGTAAGACCGCTGTGGCTAGCTAGCGGGGGCTTGGCCCAGGCATGCCGGCCAGGGAGTGGGGCTGGGGAAAGGGAGGTCTGCTTCGAACAGCTCTGTACTCCCAGGACAGCTCTTCCCGCCCCAGCAGGATGCCCAATCTCCTCTAGCAACATGTCCTTCCAATGGCTCTTCTCCCAGAGCCTGCAACAGGCCCAGACAGCCCAACGGCTGACACCTGAGGGCTCCAAATGAAAACTTGGGGTGCGGGGGGGGGGGGGGCTCCGGTTGCCTTCTGCCCCTGCAGAATCCAAACATTTCTGAACTAGGCAGGAATGAGGAGGCCATAGAGGCCGACCAACCTGCACCGAAACATCTCTTCTGAGGGGAAACTCTGGCCCTGCCTCTCAAGGCAGCCCACTGAGTCCAGGAAAGCCCGATCACGGGCTTCAACTGAACCTAGACCTGGCTTTCACAACTTCTCCTCCTGCCCCTGGCTCGGCCTTCGGAGGCCTAACCTCTCTTCCCTACAAGGGCCCTTCAAATACTCCAGGCCACGTCTCTCCAGGTCTACCGCCGATCTCGTCTTCTCCGAGCTCCAGACGACGACTGCCTTCCATTTCCCTACGACCCGCTCTCCAAGCCCTCCCTTGTTCCAGAAGCCCTTCTCCAGCCATTCCTGGCGCCCAGGCCTACACACAGCACTTCAGACGTGGAGTAACCAGGCCAGAGGCCGGCAGGATTATGCCCTGGAACCTTCTTCCCATGCTGGTTACAAGGAGGCCTCCCCCGCTCACCGGCAGGCAGACGTCTCTCTAGTTCCCCCTCCTCATCCTGTGCATCCAATGGAGACTTTTTTGAACCCCAGACCAAGATTTTATACTTCATCTTCCCCAATTCAGCTTGTGTGAGTGAACTACCTCTCCCGGTGTCCCAGGGCCCCTGGCAGGTGGGTGGTCTAGACTTGCATCTAAGGAACTGATGGGAAACAACCCAGGACCAAGGCCAGATCCCACGACTGTCTGCGGCAGGCCTCATTCTTCCAAGCTGACTCTGATCACTGAGGCCAATGCTGGGAGTCTTGGCTGTTCACTGAGCCAGTCCTGAGCCCACCCGACTCTACTGTTGTTCTGCACACGTGACCTGATCTTGTCCACAAGGATCCCACGAGACAGGCTATCAAACCCTTAGCTGAAATCAAAGTGGACGACTTCTACGACAAGCCCCTGGTGCCCACAGCTCCCGTGAGAGG